CTTTTGGTGCCGTGCATGAATGGAAGCAGCAAGCAGGATTCATGGGACCTGAAAATGTAGACCATGTCAGAACAAGATCACTAACATTGGAAGACATGAACTTCCCACACTCACGGTGTGGATACGGTATTGGTTTTTTCTGGAAAACCTAGATTTCTTGCGGATACCAAGAATTCGCCGAAGGCCACACCCCAATCTCAACAGCTGCACCCCCAGACCTGGCCCACAGTTCTTGGGTTTGCGCTGCACTTTGGCAACACTGGCACGGAAGAGGCCAGCACCACCTGGGCACTGGGCATGAGAACAGTTCCCATATCCCAACATGAAGCGGGCTTTGTGAAGCACGTCCTTTTATGTCAAGGCAGCCACCTGTCTATTGAGAAGAAGGGGCTGTACATACCAAAGGACACATGAGTCGAAATTTCTCGCACTACGCAACAAAACGTCAACTCCACCCTACAACCACGCGAGGAGCGTGAGTATTCAACCCCCAACCAAAGCTAAAGCACCGGCAGGAACAGGCTTTGTGAAGCCCCTTTCAAGAGCCTTCAAGACACCAAACCAGAACGTCGGGATTCACTCCTGCACCTCTTTCCGACAGTGAAATCATTTCGAAGGCGGGTCCCAGATTACATACAATACGATCGATGAGCACTCTGACCTGCCATGCCAAGAACATATCTTAAAACGTCGAAATGAGGAGGCACAAATCCTCCCAGCTAGATAGCCTTTGATACAGGCAGCTTCCACAATGCCACAGCTTCAGAATCCAAGGCTACCACACGCGCCAGCATGTCAACTGGATCTCACACGCCGTTTTCAATGCTTTCGACGCAACTTCGGCGCACTGCAACAGCGAGCAAAGCCTACGATCGAAAAGCACTGCCCCGATGCGATCCGGCTTCACGTCAAACTTTCAAAGCCGTCAGTTGGCTTTCAAGACGCAAAGACAGTCGATCTCCCTCGGGGGTCGCACTTGAACAACTTTCGCTGACCACCGAGCGTTACTGTCGTTCGTTTTGCGCCAGAGCCGGCTGGCACTAAATATGAGCTTCTCCTTCCGGCCTGGTCTGATTGAAGAATGCTCGATCTCATCAACGAGCTCTTCCCTTCAGCTGTTAAGTGAGCTCAAGATCACCCCAAGAACGACCAGCTTGGAGGAAAGCTGAATGCTGTGTGTGTGTGGTCAAACGACGCTCCACACACGTTGAAAGCGAGTTCATGGACTCGAGCTGCTCAAGCCCAATACTTATCATCGCCCTTACAACCGCAAGAAAAAGGAAGAAATAAAACGGACTGAACAAGCTCATGAGCACTTCATAGATGGCTGTGGATCTCCTGTTGTAGATGTAGAGACCGAACGAGTAACCGACCTTTACGAAACTTCCTGCGATCTGCAAACAGGAACCCAGCTTTAAAAGCGATCTCAAACGCCTGAGCGCGGCAACACTCGCGTCAGTTGAGGCCAACTGCCGGGCCATGAACATTGGCCACCACCTCCTCGAGCAGGTCACCGCACTGGAGAGCCACAGCATCAGCGTTCACCCCACTCGTTCCTGAACAAAGGACTCTTGCAAATCAGCTTAACTCAACGGTGATGGCCAAGATGCACGGGCCTGTGTCCCCGATCACCAACCATAGAGGGGGGCGGTAGTTTTGGTTGCCACGTCCTGACGACCGCAGGCCGAGCAGAAATCCATCTCTAGCCGGCCGGCATGCGTTTTGAAATCAGTCAGGCAAGCTTGTTGCCATGAATCGCATTCGAACTGGCAGAGTGAATGGCCGAGAGCCACAACCACGCCACCTTCTGAATAGGGCGCATGACGCTTTGAGAGCCGAGTGGCTAAGGATTGAGCCAGGTCCTTGTTGAGTCATTGCACCCAACTTCGCGCAAGGTGCGAGTGCGCAACAGTTTGCGGAGCCGCAGATGGTCACCTTGACGTTGTCGAGGGTTCGCACCAAAAACAGGCTGAAGTGACATAAAGCCTGTGACGGTGACTTGATCCGGTCGGACTCACATTGAGGTAGGTCAGAGCATTCTGGAAGGAACTTTGGATCCGCATGTCCCCGTTGTCAATTGATCAGGACGCAGCTCTCGCCTTAGCGCTGTTCAAAGGATCGTCTCAGATTTGGTGGGTTGCTCTTGCTGACGTGGCAACTTCCTTGAAGCAGGTGGCTTGGTCGTGCGGCTCAAAAAGCTCCATGCTGCCTGGAGCACAGGCGCGGCTGAAGAGCCCGAAAAAAGAAGCCTTCCCTTCCTGCACAGGTGCCCAGGCCCACGCCCCGAGAGTGCTACCTAATGATGAAAGAGGCCTGGCGAATGGCTGTGGCCAAAATGGCCGCGAACGCCAGAAACAGTGCGGCTGCAAAGAGAGGAAGAAACTGAGCGGTTGAACAGTCGATAGGAAAGTGACCCCCATGTACCAACCTACCAGCCGAACACATGGGACCAGCAAGTGCCCAAACACTCCTGAAGATGATGAAGGAATCAACTCTTCGCTCCAACGCTTTGCATGCTTAGGGTGCCCAGATGTTGCTCACAGTTCACCCCTTTCGCGCATTACTTGATATTCTGTCATCTTATCCCGATTTCCGGTCAGTGGGCTGGTTGGAGCGAGAAGAAGAAGAAGAAGAAGAACATAACAAAATCCTTGAATCAAGCTATGGTTATGCCCGTCAAAGAAAGCAGTTGGCTAAGTCGGCAACAAAGCTCCAATGTCACGTGATGGTCCAAAATGGACAACGTTTCAGCTGTCAGCAAGGTATTGGCATCATCGAGTGAGAGGAAATTGAGCTTGTTCCTAAATTTGACAACTAAAACACATCGTAGATACATACGCAAATGGCTGCTTCATTCAGAACAGCCAGCACCAGTGACATGTCCACTTTTCAGGCGTCCCAGCCTTCTTCCAGTGGCCACTCCTGTGGGATAGCAAACTTGAAAGTTGCGTCTGTCAAGTAGGGTTGGTCAAGTCACACAAGTCAGTCAATTAGCAGTCTTTGACTTTCTGGCACTTCTCAGTCTTAATACGAGGGTTCGGGCAAAATCTCAGACCATGAAAAGTCAACGTTGGCATCTTTCCGCGCTACCCAGCTTGCATGTATGCCTTTGGTCTGAGGACAACAGTCGTAAGGCAAAGCGTTCGAGACTTCAAAAGTGTTGCTAAACAAGTTCGACAATGCTCTTCACAATCTACAGCTGGAAGAAATTAATTACCCTCCAACTCCAACTAGTTATATAATGTTCCCTAAAAATCTAGGAACCAAATCATTAGTGCGAGCGCTTCTTCAAGGAAGCTTCTCCCGCCGCCTTTAGGGCGGGGGAAGCTTCCTTGAAGCAACGTGAGCTATCCTGCGTCCAGTTTCTAGTAGCTTACTTGTATATAAGTACTAGCTGTGTATATATATATATACACTCATCTCTACTAGCTGCCTCTAGTAGCGGCCTACCCCCCCTTTAAAAAAAAAGAGAGTGCAATCCATTTTTACTGATTTTCATTGTAAACTACCGGGCCCCATGATCTGGTCCGCTCCATCTCCACATCATCACCCCAGCCGTAGACCGGCGTTTCGAGGGCCATGAATCCGTCGGATGAGTCGGTCTCAAGTGCGGAATGGTGAGTCAGGTTGCTAAATCGAAAAGGTGGAAATCGTTTTTCTATGTGTTTCTTCATGGTTTTCTCACGGGGGTTCTAGAAGAGTTGCCATTCTTTGCTTTGTCGAAGAAAATCCTCCAAGAAGGAACGTGGCCTAAAACTTCACGGGACATGAATTGCCGGCTGACTGGCCACATGTCTGGAAGTCGACCAAATGGACTCACAACCAGTCGACCAAAGTCATGGTTTTGAGTGTTCCAAGGTGCGGAACCAAAAATCGTAAGCATGGTGAGCTATTGCATTCCTTTGCAGCGCATGGTGAGCTATCTTGATCCACAACGCCTTGCAAGGTGCGACATCTTGTCCTCACGGTGTGCATTTTCGTGAGGTCGTGTCACCCCATGACAAGTAGCTATAAAACACGTAAACTGTACGTGTGTCATCTCTACTGGATGTGGGTACGTGGGCTTCGGGGTACAATTTGTTTAATTTGGTTTTCCCACCTCATCAGGAATGGGCCCAAGTATCAATTCTGCAGTTTGGATCGAGGTCGGCCGACAATCGATTGCAGCTTGCTGAGGTTTCCACATACATGTTGATCTGTTTTGTATCTCATAGGGGAAATGGTGGAGGCAAAGCAAACAGTGCTTCATCTTGGAAGATAGTGGAACAATTCATCTGTATCGTGGGTAATAGCCCGATTCGAGTCCTTCAAGGAAGACTAGTCATATCAAAATCGACAATGTAACAACCTCAGAAAGCATTAAAGAAGCCACTTCCAACAGCAACCAATAAAAACAGTCCTCTCTTGAATAATGCATAATCAAATGAGCAGTCTATGTCTAGACCCAGTCTTCTCGTAAGTTCCTCTGGATTCAGCACCGAACCGGAATTGCAGTACTGAACTCGCCATCATGAACAAACACTCCTACCTTAGCTTTGATGGGAGACACTGTACAGTATGCATGAAAGTGCAACCCGTCCCAAGCCAAGGAAGTATATAAACACACTCACAGATTCTGTCATGAACTCCGGTAGATTCAGCACCCGGAAGCACAGTACTGAACTCGCTATCATCACC